TCTGATCGTCCCCCCTCTTTCCCCCCCCCCCCCCCCCCCGTTTCCTTTCCCCTTGCACCATCATTTGGGTTGGAGGCGTTTTGCTGCAATCAGCTATTTGAAAAGGCTCTGGGGCTCGGTGTGAGATGTTTACAAAGTAGCTGTGCCTTACAGACAAATAAACAGAAGTGTGCGGGGAGAGAGAGAGAGGGGGGAAATATCTGCAGTAGAGGGAGAGAAAAAGAGCAGAGCTCCGGTTCCCTGCAAACGCGGAGATAAGAGGCGGTGGAAGGAGCAGCACCTCATGCACCGTGTGCGCGCCTGGGTTTATTGGGGAATTACAAAACTAGCACGTAGGGCTTTGGTTAACCACTCCCCGCCAGCCGCCCCGGGCAAAATGGGGGACAGGAGGGGGAGCGGGGATCTTGGCTCTTTCTCTCTCTTTTTTTTTTTTTTGCTTTTCGTGATTCGCCCTCTTCATTTTGTGGGCTCTGGTAAAATGCCTGCTTCTGTGATGCATGGGGTAGCACACGTGATGGACTGGGGAGGGGGCGGCTGGGGGCAGGATGTGTCATTGTGCGCGTGTGGTTGTGTGGGCACGTTTGTGTGAGGTATGTGCGCGTGTGGTTGTGTGTGCGTGTGAGTATGTGAGGGTGGGTGCCTGTGTGTGCATGTCTGAGGTGTGTGTGTGGATGTGCGAGATGTATGAGGTCGCGTGTGGTATGTGTGATTGTGTGTGCGGTGTGCGTATGAGTGTGTGTGAGGTTGTGTGTGCATGTGTGAGATGTATGAGGTTGCATGTGTGTGTGAGATGTGTCAGGTTGTGTGTGGTGTGTGCGCGCGCGCGTGCGGTGTGTGTATGAGTGTGTGTGTGAGGTTGCGTGGGGGGTGGCTACATGTGTATGTGTGAGTGTGTGGATGCGTGAGGATGTGCGCGTGGGGTATGTGTGTGCCAGGTTATGTGTATGAGTGTGTGGGGGTTGGTTGTGTACGCGAGTGCGTGTGGTTGCATGGGTGTGAGGTGTGTGTGTGTGCATTCGTGAGTGTGCATGTGTGTGCGGTTGTGGCGGTGCGTGTGTGCAGTGAGAGGTGCTGTCTCGGTGCCTGTGCCCCGTCCTGCAGTGACGGGCGGCCGTGCCCCGAAGGCGGGCGGCAGGCCC